ACACAGAGGGACGTGTGCTCTCCAGTTGTGTACGTACATGGTACACAAACAGACACATACACACAGAGGGACGTGTGCTCTCCAGTTGTGTATGTACATACACAGACACACACAGAAGGACACGCACGCTGAATAAAATGTGAAAATAATCTAAACAACAACGAAACGAAACTTAAAAGGGGATCAGAAGGGAGGGAGTGGACACTGGAATAAACACAGTAAGGATATATCTAATCTGAGTCTTAGGAAATGCTTTTAACCTCTACACTCAGGAGGGAGGGCAGACAAATCTCTGTGAGTTACAGGCCAGCTTGATCTACACTGTGAGCACCAGGGCAGCCAGGGCTATGAAGAGAGACCCTGTCTCAAAACCAACCAACCAACGAACCAACCAACCAAGCAAGAAAACCAACAATCAGGGAGTAGACATACAAGGGCAAACAGTCAGAGAGGGAAATGAGTAAGACCAAAGTGTATTAATACATAAATACACACACACACACATATATATATTGATCTGAAATAATGAACATCTACTACTCTTTAAATGCTGAAAATAGATTTTCCTAAAAAGTGATTAAAGAGAAAGAGAAATTTGAATTCATTTAACTTTAAATATTAAGAAATAATTCTAGGTAAGATTTATATAAAAGCAGCAGACAATTCTGTGATTTTGTTCATTCAAAGCTTGCTTTTATTGAGTTGTTCAATAGACATTTTCTTAAAAGTCATATCTATAATTTAAAGTATTAAATACTAACCAAAACGTTAACTGGGAGTTCTGTATGGAAAAAACTAATATCAGTGTAGTGCTTTATAAAGCCAACCCTCTTGCTAAAATGGCATTAATTAATTACTAGTCGCAAATAGCCTTGGGTGGGTAAGAACATGCAATACTGTTTCAAGTTCTAAACCAAAGAGCTTAGCATCTTTTTAAACCTTTGTCCTTTTGAGGTCATAATATAATTGCATCATTCCCCCTCTCCCTCCAAGCCCTCCCACAGACCCCCCTTACTCTTTCACATTCGGCCTGTTAGTTCACTGCTACTACATGCATATACATACACATACGTATAATGTCATACATACACGTTCCTAAGTGTAACATGAAGTTTAGGATTTTAAGTGGACTTTGAATGTGACAGAGATATAACACAGTTACTTTTGGAAGGAATTAAAATATTTGAAGTAAGTATTTTACAATTAGAATTCTACTTTAGAAGACTAATAAGCCTATCAGAGTAAGTGCTTATCACCTTGAGTACTGTTTAATAACCTCACCATATATGAAGATTTCCATCAAAATCTCCAGTAGCTAAGAATCTCTGCTGCAAAGATGCGGCACCAAATGTTCCACATTTAATAGGCTTAGCCTTTTCAATCTGGACAGAAAGGAGAGAGGATGCTTTACTTATGTAAACAGTTATTTATAATCACAACATTGACAGCTTTGCTGTGGAGGGTTATAAACACATTATACATAAAAGCAATTAAAACATTTTCTATAAAAATTATACTTTCTTTAGTCAATTTCGTATAATTTAAAAAGCATATCACTGTCAAAAGAAAGATTCTTATTTTGAGACAGGGTCTTACTATGTAGCCTTGGTTGTCCTTAAACTCTGAGCTCCTAGGTCACTGTCTAAGTGTGGGTAGAGTTTATGTATTTTTATTTCATGTGTATGGGTGTTTTGCCTTCATTTAGGTGCATGCAGTACCCACATAAGCTAGAAGAGGGCATTGGAGCCTCTGGAACTGCTGGTTGCCATGTGTGTGCCAGGAATCAAACCCAGGCTTTCTGGAGAGCAGCCAGTGACCTCAGAGCTATCTCTCCAGTTTCTGAGACAAGGTTTCTCACTTTGTTGCCCAAATCACACATGATTCAAACTGATCTAAAACCCAGAGATACAGGAGAGGGAAGGAGAGAGAGAGGGGGAGAGGACAGAAGAGAGACAGAGAGAGAATGGTGTCACTGAAGTATCCAAATGCTGCCATCTGGAACCCCATGTGGTGGCTCACTTCTGTAGCCCCAGAACTCCAGATATGGAAGCAGAAGTGTAGTTGTGAGTTCCAGGTCAGGCAAGGCTACACAGTGAATTGTGGGCCACACTAGGCTACACAGAGATCTTTAACCTTCCCTCTCACAATCCCGAAAGCTCTCTCATCTCTGTTGATGGCAGGTACGTACTGTGCTAACCTCTCATGTGAAAATACAATGGAGACATTATTTTCTGAAGGCTACAGGAACAAAGATGTCCATGAGCCTCTTGGAGTCCTATCTATAGAATCTGGTAGATGTTCAATGCTCTCTGAATGAGGGCATAAGAAAGCCCCCACTAACCCTTCAGCACTAAATATTGGGACAGTGAAGCCAGCACCACAGCACTCTCCCTGTCTTCTGGATTTTACGTGCTGTGTGTCTAAGATGGTGTTTGGTGCCATTTGCTAAAGATCATAGGAGCTGTTTACAAGTACTGAGCATATGATAACAGGTAGCATCATTCCACCTGTTTTTCCAGAAATGAGCATCGTTTTTCTTAACATGCACATTGCTGCAAACTGTTATCTCTCTCTCTCTCTCTCTCTCTCTCTCTCTCTCTCTCTCTCTCTCTCATGTGTGTGTGTGTATGTGTGTAGGCATGCACATCCATGCAGAAGTCAGAAGACTTCAGGTATCCTGATCTATCACTCTCTCCTTTATTCCTCTGAGACAGGGTTCTCGGTTAAGCTAGTTGACAGCAAGCCCCAGGGACCTTCTCGTCTCTGTCCTCCACATTGCATGAGTTAGAGGTGAGCAGTTTTTATATGGCCACCACAAAGGACAACTCAGTCCTCACACTTACACAACGAGCAGTCCCTCGACCACGCCAGCAGCCCATGGACATCATTTTCAAAATGAGACGTGATGTCTTTTACATATATCCCAATTGTCAGGCATATTTCCAGCTCTTTCTACTACTGGAAGCTGCTTCCAGGCCAGTAGAAGAGTCCAAGAAACATTTTATTACACAGTCCTATCCTGCAAGCCTGAGTCAATAGAAACATTAAAAAAAAAAAAAGTCCTAAGCCTGAGAAAGTGGGGGGAAAATCAGTGCAGGAATGAATTAAAGCTAGTTTCAGATTTCCCTTTTGGTCTTAACTCTCATTCATATGTTTTGCAAAATAAATATAGAGTATCATGTTTCCCTCAGGGTTTCTGTTTTGTATCAAAGAAGCAGAAACTTAGATATTACTACTTTACTGTTCAAGAATCAAACTCAAAACATATTTGGTAAAACAATTTAAAATGTTAGACTGTGTCACCCGCCTGCAGCGTGACTTCACTTCACTCAGAAAGGCTGGCTCAGTTGTCCGTGGACTTCTGAAAGCTGCCATGTTTCCTCTGCTCTCACATTCACAGAAACTAGTAACTGAGAAAGCACTACAAGAAAATCCTGATTTGTACAGCATACAAAAGAACTCTCTTTTTACGCTGTTAAGTACATTTTCTGTGGAAAGATGGGTAGAATCCAGTGGTTACTTTGGTAGAAGACTAATTGGTTAAAAGTAATATAACTACTTGGTTCAAATTATTTCACATAAAGTTAGCATATGAAATTGATAAATATTGCATATGGCCTTCATGATGGTTTACTTGACCTAGTGTTTTATATTCATTGCCAGGAGTACACGTCAGCGTGACTAAAGAAGCCATGATCAATAATTGCCATGAGAGCTATTTTTGTTCTGTCTGTGGGCGGGTCTACTGCAGCCTGTCAGTATTTCCTCCTCCACATCCTGGCACTACTTAATTAACATTAAAAAGTTTAGTTAGGCAAATGCTAACAAGCAGTGCCTTCCCTAGCACAAGAGCTAACACACCAAACTAGCTTACCATCAATTTTCAACCACAATTTCGTTTTTCAGGGCTCTCTTTGTCCACATGGCACCTTTAAGTTCATTAGGGACTTAAAAAAGTTGTCTTATATGTTGAATTTTCAGACAAGGATGATGAAATGACACTTGGCTAGACACTGGTCATGTGCCCCAACAAACTGTATAACTAGGAAAGGATGCCCTGTCTTCCATTCATCCATCCTTCCTTCCTTCTTTTCTTTTTAATTTTTATGTGTATCAGCATCTTGCCTGCAAAGAGCATCAAAGCCCCTAGAATTGCAGTTACAGACAGTTGTGAGAGCTGCTGTCTGGGTGCTGGGAATCGAACCTGGGTCACCTGGAAGAGACGCTGGTGTGCTTAACCACCGGTCATCTCTCCAGCTCCCTACTTCCATTTTTATTTATTTGTTTGTTTTATTTTTTGAGATAAGATCTCACTATGTAGCTTTGGCTATTTTGGACCTCATTGTGTAAACCAGGCTGATATCAATCTCACAGAAATCTTCTTGCCTCTGCTGCCTGAGTGCTGGCATTAAAGGTGCATATCAAACTGCCCAGACAGTTTCTGCCCTCCGTTTCTATCTATTTTTTTAGCAATAAGATAAAGCACAACACAGGGAATAGCTGACCTACTCCTTTTATATGTTATCTTAGGTGCACAGGCTTTGGAGCAAGTCTTGATGTAATTCATCATAACAAAATGAGTATGTTATCTAATATTTAGGTAAGTATTCCACCTGGCCTAACAGTTCTCAACTCTGGTACTCACTAAAATCAACTAGCAGAGGGTCACATTTCTAGGGAGCGAGGCACAGGTATTTTAAATCTTGTACACAATCATCATTAGCAACCAAACACACAAACTTTGATGCAGTGAGAACCACTATGCATTTAACCTGAATGTTTTTCTACTGAAGCCCAAACAAATACAAGTTCTGAAAGGTGTTTTGTTTTTAATATTTTGCTTAATTTTTAGAAGTAAATGTTCTTTTTTTTTTTTTTTTTTTTTTAGCACAGTACCTCTACGGTAGTCTCAGTAATTACTCATGGAATGAAAAGGAAGCACAACACCAAAGTTGTTACTCTTGTGGTTCAGATTATGTACGACAATTTCTTTTTTATCCCTAGTTATCGTTCCTATATGTTCTCTTATAAACACTACTTTCACTAAAAATAAATGAATGAATAAATAGATAAATGAAACTTTGCTAGGATTCTTCAGAAATTAGAAGAGATGGATACTATTTCACTTCGAATAACTATTACTAAGCTATATTTTAAAAAAAATCTTAATTCTTGGGAAAGCAAAAGACCACAAGTCTATAAATGCTTTCTGGCTAAGGATTGACTGGCCTGGTATTTCACTTTAAAGTTTCTGTTATGCCAATGTCTCCCATGTTCAGAGTCCTTATCCCACACACTGACTGGCAATCCCTACACCAATATTTAAAACTGAGTCCCAAGTTCATTCAGTCTCCATTCTTTTAATAAATATGTACTGACAGGCTGGTCCTTACAAAGTATAAGAGAAGACCCTGTCCTTGCTCTCCAGCTTACAATCTAGAGATGAGACAGATTGTTTACTTCTGGCACAGATGGTCAGTATTATAGGAGTGGAATGTACCGAATGGTTCTTTGAGCAGAGATCAGAAAAAGCTTCCTAAATCAGGTAATCTGAACTGGTCACTGGACTAGCAACAGGTGAGTGTGAGTTAAGCAGTGAAGAAGACAAGGCACGGAGGGCCAGAAGGATCAAACCATGTTTAGAATTTCCGAGTCCAATGCCTGGCTACAGAGCAGGAACTAAACTAGAAAACAGGCTCTCAGCAAAGCTCAGGGAATGACTGTGCTCCACATACTTTGCCATGCAAGTTCACGAATCCTCTACCTGCCCTAACCTCTTATCAACCCTCAACACCTCTATGTCACTGCTACTTGTTTCAGTCAACCCAAATAGGAAGATTTTAAAAGCTGTAACTAACTATAAAACTATTACTTAGCCACAACTCAGCACTGTGGCACATGGCCTGAATCCCAGTCCACTGGGAGGCTGGTTTGAGGATTATCAGTTCGAGGCCAGTTGAGTAACATAGAAACACTCATCTCAGAAAGGAAAAAAGAAAGGAAGGAAGGAAAGAAGAAAGGAAGGAAATGTCAGTTATCACCATTCTGTAATTGGCTCATTGGCAGCCTGTAATTACAAAACCTGTAATATGGTCTTGCATTATCCTCCTAAAAGTCCTTCAGTGGTGTCCTGTTTTCCTTGAAAGAAAAAGGTCAAATCTGTTAAATGTCTTACAGATCTTGCAATGGTCCCTACTTACCCCTTTTGTATGTGTATGGTTTGTTTTGTTTGTTTTTTGCTTTTTGTTTTTTTTCGGGGGTTGTGATTGTTGCAGATAGCGTTTGGAACTGAAAGTCTTCTGCTTCTACCTCCTGAATGCTGTGATTAAAGGTGTGCAATACCACTTCCAGCTCGTGTTTTTTTTTTTTTAAATAAAAAGATAATAAACTATCTTCCGCCACCATCACTGAGCTGTCTCACATGCTGCTTCTCTTAAGAAACTTCATACTCTACTCTGAATTTGCCTTAGTTAGTTTCTACTCATTCTACATCTGTTTTTACTTTCACAGATCTGTATATTACATGTACATCTTCATTTACATGTATGCATTCTTGGTCTGGCTGTTTGACTGTCTCCCCCAAGAGAAAATAGACTCCATGATATTGTTGGCATTGCAATCCCCATGCCTGGGACTATCAGTCAACACTTCTTGAAAGAATGGGGTATTTACTAGTCTTCACCAACTACGTTGTAGGTCTCCCGGAGGTGTCTCCTTTGGTTTTGCTTGTATGAAATGTGGGTTTACTGTATATACTTACTAGCTATCTACAACAACTGCAAACAGCCTAAAACGTCCTCGAACGTTGCCATGAAATGTTCACTTCCCAGAAACCTTGCAATGGATTGTACCGAGGATGGTGAAAGTTAGAGGCTAGCAGTGAACCAAGGTACAAGTTTCCCCGGGGAGATTTTGGGACATCAAAATTTTAAGTTTGAAGTATTTCTCAATCTGTAATCTTTTTTGTTTCTGCTGGGGCAAAGCTGTGTCAGAGAGGAATGTAGACCCTAGAACACGCAAACCCAAACAGTCCAAGCCTGCACCCACCTCCCGCAGCAGCTTGAGGTCCCCGCGCTGGATCTCGTACACCTGGATAACGCCGGTGCCCCGGGCGAAGTTGCCCATCGTCACGAATTTGGCACTGCAGGGCACCCATTTGCAGTCGAACACTGTGTAGTTGAGGCCCTTTTGAATATGGACAATAATCTGGGGCTTCTCGAAGGTGGACATAGTGCAGATACAACCAAACCCTAACCTGGCAACCAGACTGCAAACATATCAGGGGCAGTTTGTCCCTCCCTAGCCTCACTCTACCCGGACGCCTTAGCAAGTTGGGTTTGGCTGCCTCCGAAAATGCCTAGTGAGCTGCTGAGACCGCACCAGATGCTTCTTCACACACGGCACAGGCTGATCTACTGCATTTACCACAACGATTTCACATAGATACATCAGAGACTGTGAATGCTTCGGCTGCGAGCGCGTGAGGGCACGGAGACATTAACATTCAGGCATATCCTAGGGCAGCCATTCGGAAACGCAGACCAATCCTGCCTTAGGCCCCGGCATGGACCCCGTCTCGGTAAAGGGGCGGTGTCTTCAAATTGATTGGTGGATGGTGGCGCATGCGCGGTAGAACCTCGCACGTGTTTAGCTAGTTGTACTTTCCCGAGTTGAACATGGCCGAGATGGAGACGCAAAACACCGGGGCGGAGGACGGCTTTATTCCAGTCACGCACAGAGGAGGCCGCCGGGCGAAGAAGCGACAGGCTGAGCAGTCGTCAGCGCCGGGACCTGATGGCGACGCCGGACGCATGGACACGGAGGAGGCGCGGCCGGCGAAGAGGCCGGTCTTCCCGCCGCTTTCGGGCGATCAGCTCCTGGTGGGGATCCCGACGGGACGGGGCGGGGCTGGGCGTCAAGGTGAAGGGTCAGTTTTCGTTTTTTTCCGTCTAGGCCCGCATTTCTCCAGTCGCTTCCTGATTGTGTGTGTGTTTATTGCAGACTGGGAAGGAAGAAACGAGAAAAATTCCCGTCCCAGCTAACAGATACACACCGTTGAAAGAAAACTGGATGAAGATATTTACTCCGATTGTAGAACATTTGGGACTTCAGATACGCTTTAACCTGAAATCAAGGAATGTAGAAATTAGGGTAAGGAAAAGGGTGGCCATTTCGTAGCCTTTCGAGTTTTTTGCCTTCAGAGCTGAAAATAAATGAATGCACTTTCCTTTGTAGAGTTTATTCTAGTAAGTGGCCTTTCTTTTTTTAAAGAGTTTTAGTATAGTGAATTTGAAATGAACCAAATTCCTTCAAAACTACATTCAAAACAGGTATTGACTGCATTCCTCAGTCACTTGTAAGATCACTCCAAAATACTGTCTATCTCCTGAGTTTCTTCCCTGTATATTCACTTGATAAAAGTAGAGGATGGTACATGGATGTACATCAGTAAGCAGTAACTGCAGGTAACTGCTTCAGTGTAAGTGCTCTTTTTGGAGGAAACCTGTTACTTAGAGAAAATACCAATTAAGTCTCTTTTCTTCAGTAGATCTTCTGTGTCAGTGCTAAATTTTCCCATATTTTTCCCATATCACAATATTTCTATTATGATATTCTAGCATCCTCGTCACTTCTAAGGGATAAAATCCAGACACTTGGCTAAGCATGCCTTTCAAGTAGGAGACCCCGTTGCGTTTGTTTCCCCCCCTTTTTTTTTTCCTGCCAGTATTTCTGGTGTCTTTGATCTCTGGAAAAGGCTGCTTTCTCTGCTGTCTTCTTACTTCAGTTCCAGTCAGCTTTCCAGGTTTACCTCAAGCTCTCATTAGAAGTTTATAAATTTCTGTTGTACTTAGCTGCCGTATTTATTTCAGGGTCATTAGTTTGTATTCCTAGTATTTGCTAATACCGTGTATCAGATGTACAGTGGGAGCTTAGTATAGGTGAAAAAACTTAAATCCTAGATATTCATGGGACTTGTCAAGAGTCACATTTAAGGTGAGAACCAAACTCTGGGGCTTTGTTGTTGTTTTATTTTTGTTTCTCCCTCTCTCCCTCTCTCTCCCTCTTTCCCTCTCTCTCCCTCTCTCTCCCTCCCTTCCCTTCCCTTCCCCTCCCTTCCCTCCCCTCCCTCCCTCCCTCCCTCTCTCTCTCTCTGGCTAGGTTTTACTGTATAGCCCTAGCTAGCCTGGAACTCAGAGAGATCTGAAGGGTGCAGGGACTAAAGGCGTGTGCTGCCACACCCTGCTGGGGTCTGTTTTTAAGTGTGAAAACCTTAACAAATCCTGTATGCTTCTAAATTTGTCAAACGTGTAGTCTCTTCAATTGGATTGTGATTTTGTGTGGGAGACCCAAAGGAATATTTTAGAAATCAGATTTGTGTTTTAGTTTTTAGTACCTTAATTTACTCTTATGTGTTTCTATTATATAATATTCAAGATTATCAAAGTGAAGCTTAAAGCTAGATGTGTACAACATATTATTACAGTGGTGGGTATTCTATGAATAACAGTTCAAATAATTACTTGTAGACAAGATGCCTACTTAAGCTATTCTTGATTTCCTCAATACCAGGCATGCAGGTCGTCAGAACTAGACTTGTTGGTTTGGGAAACAACAGCATATAAATAATCCTTTACAGCAGAACGTATCAGGACTGCTGGGGAGAGGAGGAGGAGGAGGAGAGGACCTGTCTGGAAATTTGAAAGAGGGCACAATGGGTGTGAGCCCTTGGGATGTGCTAGAGGAATGTTGCCACTCACCTGGACCAGTCAGAATATGTTTAGTCACTTGAGAGAGTGTGCATGGAATTGCCCAGCTTTGGAGCAGGAATATTCAATCATACAACTTAAAATATAAAGGGGGTCTTGCAGTATTCAGGGAGGGTGATTGATGGTGAAGGAAATTATAATAGAAATGACATTTCTAGTATTTTGTTAGAATGCTCTCCTTTTCATCCATGTCTTCACTTCTTTTTTCAGACGTGTAAAGACACCAAGGATGTCAGTGCCCTGACAAAAGCCGCCGACTTTGTGAAAGCCTTTGTTCTTGGCTTTCAGGTGGAGGTGAGTGATCTCACGAGACTTCAGTAGATGGGTCGTTTTCCAAACTTTTAGTCTTTTCACTGTAGCATCTGAGAAGTTCAGTTTCAAAAATGCTATCCTTGTCTCTGTCGGGTGAAGGAAAGGCCTTCATAGTGCTTACTTTTGTCTTGTAGGACGCGCTTGCCCTTATCCGGCTGGATGACCTCTTCCTAGAGTCTTTTGAAATAACCGACGGTGAGAACATGTGTGAACAGTCAGCCTTTGTGTTTCTCATTGTGTTGTGTTGTGACTGTTGAGCTGTAGTACTAACACTCTTCAGAAAAATATACTTAGTGTGGTTTAGTAGGAAAAGTCAGAATGTAGCCACCTGATGGCTTGTCTTTCTTTTTAGTTAAGCCCCTAAAAGGAGACCACCTGTCAAGGGCAATAGGAAGAATTGCTGGTAAAGGAGGAAAAACCAAATTTACCATAGAGAATGTAACACGGACACGGATTGTTTTGGCAGATGTGTAAGTATCTGTTCTTGAGGGAAGTGTCATAATTTATATTTGATCTTACTAGTTTCAAAAAAGTCATAGCTACTATTTGTTGCATTCTATTGTTCTTTCTATTGGGATTGAATGTGGAACCTTGTGTGTTCTGGTAAAGAGCCACCCCTGTTTTATAATGCTGCCTGTAACCCACATTCTTGTGATTGGAGCTCTGTGGGCGTGTGGTTCTAGGTGAATACTCGCCAACTTTGAAAGACTGATGACTTAGTCAAGGAAATTTCAGTAATTGTATTTTTTCTCAGCAATAAAAGAAATATTTAGAATCACTCTTGAAATAATTGATTACAAGGGAAGATTTTAATTTTAGACATCTGATAAATCATTTTGGGACATACAAGAAGTGGGTGTTTGAAATGCCACCATGAAGCTTTCCTTTTGAATACATATCTGTATTTCAGGTAGGGGTACACCCACACCTTCGTTATAGGAAGGGAGGTGTTACATGCTGGGTAAGAACAACCTTTCAGTTACACATGAATATAAATAAGATGGGACAGGCTTACCGTGAGGAGGAGGTACTGGATGCAGAGCTGGGAGAGCCTCTCTGAGGTCAAACTGATCGGAGGTTGGTGTCAGACAGACAGGTAGCCTAGAGGTGATATAATATGAGGTTGGCCAATAGCAGTTGACAGAGGGTATGAGGATTTCACTTAATACCGTTTTGCTATAATGATCATTATTGAGGCTATATTAAAGTAAACATTCCTTATACTTAAGGGTAACTTGTATTATATTGGTGGCCCCCTACCTGAAACCAAATGTGTTATCATACTTCTGCTTTTTTATGGACTGGGCCTTCAGAGTCTGAAACATGAGCTTTTTTTCCACTAGAAATTTCAAAGACATGGAAATACAATATTTAAAATGGCTGAACAGAGCCTAAAAGTCTCCGATGAGAAATCCAAAGCTAGAACCCAGTTGTAATAGACTTGGAGCTAATTTGTCATTAACTTTGTAATCCACAAATTTAAATGTCTTAGAATTTACTATGAAAGTTGCTTTAAAGAGGGTATTTGGACTCAGCTTACATAATAAAATGCACCTGTCGGCCCTGTCATTCTAATGGGTTTCTCAACATAGCTCAGTGCTGTGCAGGGTCTGTCTAGTGGGTTGCTGAGCTGTGCACAGTTGTAGCCCTTCCATGTCCACAGCGCTCACCGTCATTCCCCTGTGTGTGCATCACTTAATCAGCTCTTCCCCACTCTGCCCCAGTGGCCATTGCTCTACTTCCTGTCACTGATTCCCAGAAACTCACGTAAATAGATGCCCAGTATGTATTCAGCATATTGCTTTGAGTTTCTTTGTTCTATTGGGTACAGCAGATAGCCAAGTAGCTTTGTAATTGCAGTTGATAGACATCTGAGATGTTTCAGTTTGGAGCCATTATGACCAAGGCTGGTGTAAACAGTAATTTGTAGTTGTTACATTTAAAATTTTTTGAGATTGCAATATAATTACACGTCTCCCTACCCTCCAAACCCTATCATACCCTTCTTTGCTCTTTGAAACTTACAGCTTTTTAAAAAAGTTGTTGCTGTCTTCATCTATGTATATACACATATACTTCTAGATATAAGCTGCTCAGTCCCCTTAATGTTACTTGTGTGTGTTTTCAGAGCTGTCCTTTTGGTATTGGATAACCATTGGTGTGCTCTTCCCTTCGGAAGACTATGTCTCCCACTCCTCGCTTTTCTCAGATGCTTGTGATTCCTTTTGTAGGATTGAGGCTC